CCCTCTTACCCCCGCCCCTCCTTTTCTCCCTTTCTTCGCCTTCCTGTCCCTTCTTGGAGCCATTTCGGGACTAATTTTATTGTAATTTATCTATTGTAATGCATTACTTATTGCATCAGTTCCTGATTTGTGTGACGCTCAGAGTAACGAAAACTGAAAAGCCATAACCACGAACCGATTTTCTTGCAAAATTTAATCGGCATAAGAGATCATAGAACATTGACTTCGAAGTTGTCTGATCAGCTATTCCAATGTTTTTGCAGCAGTGAACGGCGTATCGAGAGTTAACACTGCCATTCAACTCTCCATTGATCTTTAAAATAGGTCCTGCTACTGCCCACGACACCAGCGGTAAACGCTACGCTTTAGACATCCGTTCAGGGCTCTGGTAATAGTTGAATGCATGAATTACAGTAAGTTGTAATGAACAACCGACACAGGGTTCTAGGGTTGTCTCCATTCTAAAAGCGTTGAGTCCGAGCTGTTTCAGGTGGGTGCTTGGATGCCCAGGGAATTCTTATTCATTTCTATGGTGCAACTTCACTTGCGCCTATCCCATACCCCGAAAACAATAGTCCCACATTAATAAATTACTAGCCGTCCAGAAGCATCCCGTACTCAAGTCCGAAAAAATCATTAGGCCCGTAAAAAATGTTGGGACCGCGATGACTTTCCTTTGCCTATATATTCAGCTGAACTGCAGTAAATCTATAAATTACAAACCTGAGGGGTCCGCCGAACAGCTCCACTAAAAACTACTTAGCATAAAAATAACTGCTCCTCAAAAGAATATACTGACCGTAGGATCAACCCATTTGAGCGGCCTTGAGCGCGTTTCCATGAGGGCCACTAAGCGATCAGGTAATTCAATCCAAACAGGTCCTTCAGAATGACAAAAAATCGAATTCAAAGATTAAAAAGACAACATTCAAAAGTTGGTTTTGCAAGTGATTGAGTCTGAGTTTCCTTGTAAAAGATGAACTAACTACAGATGAACAGCGTCGAAGATCTAGTCATACTTTGACTCTTCGGATTATGCGATACAGTAAACTTGTGAATTAGGGGCTAGTGGCAGATCGCGAAGCCACACAGTTTCACGATCCAATCCATATCCATAGGTTTGTCAAAATCCTTTCTTTCAAAACAAGTCTTTTTTGGCTGTTTAAAACCTCTTCCATTTCACTATATGTGCGATTACTGTATCACAAAGTCCACAGACTGAGAAATCAATCTAGTCGCGAGGAAACGATCTTGTACAAATACAGATGCATGCCGGGCTTTTATCCATTACAATGCATCCATACCTTTTTAATGTACTATTTAAGATTAGTGAATCTTTCAAAATCAATCATTCACTAATCCGCTATTCGATTGGGTATGTCCCTTTTTTAGAAATTTCAGAATCATGCCAGTTTTATGAACTTTGTTGGGTGGGCTAAAATTTGTCAGGAACAGAGAGTTTGATGACCCAGCAAAACGTAACAAAAATTGATTCCCTATAATAAATAATATTTAGTAATGATCAATCCATAGGAAAACAAAATTTTCTGCATTATTAGCGGAGCGACAAAGGTGAGGAAGTAAAAAATGAATGGATCCAAAACGATCCGAAAAATGATGTTTCATCCTACCACATTCTCGTTTCGAAGAACAGCTTCTGACTTTTCATTGATCGCTGGGCTTCGACCCAGAAGTTTAAAAAAAAATCAAAAGATTACTGACACAGCCACTAAATTGCTTTCAAACGGTTTGGAGATTTCTTTGGATCATAGCAACGGAATAAAAGGAAATTCTCAGGAAAAGTTATAAAAAAAATATAATAAAAATTGTAAAAACCTGGAATTCGTTCTGAATCGGGAAAAATAACGATGAAAAAAGAACGTTAACTCACCAACATGAACTGAGCAGGTAATCTGCTTGTTGTGTGGATCAGAACAATCAGGTTGGAAGTCGGTGGCAGATTTTGACGACTTTGTTATCGCGATAGTAGTACTGCTCAACTGAACAGGACCAGTAGTACTGTAAGCGATCTCTTCGGGAATTGGCCAAGTGATATTATCGTCATTGGTGTCGTTGTAGTCACCATCGACCACGTCAGTAATGAATAGAAGAGTTATGAATATGGCGATCATCTGACAAGCATTTCTTGAGTAGTTGATCTGAAACGATACTGTATATACGACATTACGTTACTGTATACTATACGGTATTACTCACGAGGAACTGGTTTTTATCTGAACAGTTCAGAAAAGAATCGCGACAACAACAAACAGCACAGATCTGGAGATAAAGCCGAAAAAGAGCAAAGTGGCATTAGTTCGTGAAAGGACCTACCTACTACGGTATCTTCAGTTTGCCATCATGATTACAGTAGGGAGGAGCCGATCCCAATTCATTCATTTCATATGGGTTAGAAGCTTTGGTCAAAGTGGAATGGGCATTTCAGCTCTGTTTAGAATCAGCTGTTGTAGAAGAGAAGTCATAGGAACTTCAGGATGAGCCAAGTGTTCCATTGGGAACTCTTTTTGAGGGCAGTAATTGATCTTTCGACTGGGAACCTCCCCCCGATGAACAACGGAATTCCTACTTCCACGGGCTAATCCAATACCAATCAACCAACTCTGGGCATGGAAGATTTGATTAGCTCGAGCGGATTGCAATATGTCCTTTGGGTTTTGAACTACCGTACATGTCAGACTCACGCCTTTCTGTAGTGCTTTACCTCCATCAGTAGCAGTCAGCTTCAAAAAGAAGGGTAACTTTCATGGCAACCAAAAAATTACCTAAGTAATTTAAGCCTTGTCACTAGACAAATGGTAGAAAGGTTACCATTGTGACCTCAGAAAAACTTCGTTAGACCGTTCATTGAAGAGCGGGGTGGAAGAGGGAAACCGATAAAAGAGTCGTCTACAATACGATTGTCATAGCCTTTAGAGGATGAGAAAATGAAATGGAACAAAGGATATCTCCCGCTCCCAAACACAAACACATCGGTTTGGCTGAATGAGATTGATGCCGAATAATGGAAGGGCATTCAAGGGCCGAAACGTAATCGGATGGACAGAAAAATGGAGCTGAGATGACGCAAGAATCCAGGGCTAGCTCTCGAAAGGACTCCGCCTAGCATCGATCGGAAGGACTGGGTGGTGACGAAAACAGAGGCCTCGTTGTTGCGGAGAAACCCGATGAAAGATCGGAACAGAAGTTGATCAGATGCTTTCAGAACAACACTCTAGCTGTCTCGACTATCGGCTCTTTGGAGAAAGTCGAAAAGGCGTTGAAATCTGATAGTGAGGTATCTGTCCACCTTGGAGGAACAGAATGCCACTGCTGAGATTGAGGATGTTTAAGGGGGAGGGGTTTAGAGATCGAATCTACGGAACCATTCCTAAGAATCTCATTTCTAAGACACCATGACCTGCTCCCTGCCTTCGGATACAAGAATGGGGAAGCATCTAGCATATTTGTCAACGCACTGAATCCCTTAGTCGAGACGACCGCCCGCCATCACCCGCCCGCCTCCTCTTCCAAATTTTTCCGCTGGGAATTGGGGGTTGAATAGTTATCCCATGATGAGAAGAGGTTGTTGCCTTGAAAAAGCTTATGGGAGAGGACGATCGCTGTCCAGTATCTCCTATAACGATTAAGGCAAATACGCCAGTGACGTGATGTTTCTCCTGAGAAATGACGGAATTTACAATCAGAGTCGTTCAGGGTGCGATCACAAGCTAACACCGAAGGAAAATCATGCTCCCCGACTACGACCCACTGAGTGGGCGAACACTCGAATGGGTTCAGGGTAAATGGGTTGATCAGATCATTACAAAATTGCACATGAGTCCCAATCAGTCGACAATGGACAGAGACTCGTCCGGAGTTGCTATTGTGCTCGTCCAGAAGTGCCCTTCAATGAAAAAAGTAGGTTCATGCACGGTGTCGTGCAATGTATTCAAATGTGAAGTAGCAAAAAAAGAGCTTGGAGTCAACCGATGAGTTTTGGCTACGCCATGCATGCATCACTTGTCCAAAAATCTCTAGCAGGTCCTTATGTGTCCGACATACCCAATCGCAACATACACGGGTCGTTCCGCACAAGGTCAGTCTATGGCTTCTTTTCAGGATGCGCCATCGCATTCAATCCTTTTCTGAAGTACTTCTGACGTTTTGTATGCACTTGTACCCTATTCAATGGCTTGCGGTAGGTTGATGCATACATCGACTGCCCCCCCCCCCGCAAGCCATTTTATAGGATTCACGTGTGCGGTGAAAGTTTTAATCCTCTCAGTCTGGTTTGGCACCGACTACGGGACCCGGTGGGATGGAAGGCTTGGATGGCCTGGGCGACTATCGATTCGGGATTCGATACCTTGACCATGCTGTGTGTACGTGAGCACTTATTTGATCAATGAACTAGAAGGCGAACAAAACATTGAGTCAGGCATTTTCACCTTCTCGAATAAAAAATCAGCCTCGGAAATTTCAGGCTTTTGACATCCTAATGAAAAGACAAGAGTATCACTTATTGTTAGCGGTACATAAGTATCAGAATCAGTTCTTGTGTGGGGCTCTGAATGCCTTATGACATCCTATCATAGATACCGTATTAAGAAGTGAATCAAAGTGATTGTAATTAGGAGCTACTGGTAAGAGATCGGCTTGCGACAATCCTCCTTGGGCACGCCGCCGACAACAAGTCCGATATAAAAATAACTGACATTTCCTCTACTGAAACTGAGAGGAGTTGTTTGCGTAGTAGACACTCTTTGATTATACGGGGTGAGGTAAAATTATGGAAAATGCTTAAAATGAAAGCCGCAAAAAAACTTGGTTTGAGCTCGGGCCACAGGACAATTCCATTTTTCTACTGTTTGACTAGAACTGAATAGGAGGCTCTACGTTGCTCCCAAATGATCTCTATCCGATTCGAAACAAGCTCAAGAGCTGTCTGGAAAAGCGTCGGCCGTGGCGAAGGGGTATTTGTCGTCCAAGTTGTTCTAAGCTTTTTGCAGGGTCCTCTTCAAGTAATCGGAACGGGCGAGGTTTGGCGCATGCCTCAGACCAGAGGATGCGCCACACTTGGGTACGAAGCGGTATGAGGTTCATCGAACTGGGAGGTCGCTTCTCGAAGACAAGTAAATCCTCCCATGAATATGAAAGAGTTCTTAAGAGAGAGTTCTTGAGGGAAAACGTTCTTTGAATGAGTAGAATCACTCTTCTCAGAATCTACAGCTCCAGAAAAAGTTGGTGTAGTGGCGAAAGGCAGAGGCATCTACCCATGCTTAAGATCGATACTGAATCTAGCCTCATATCCTGCTAAAAGTGTGGGTTATAGTCAGATCCGTTTCGGGAAATGGAATTACTGAATTCTATAGAAGTTCACAAACGCATTCTTATGCATATCACATGGCTTGACTCCTCGGCAAAAATACATGAAAATTGAATGCATGGCCTACCCAAAATAGAGACATCAATTCGATCACGTAGACCTCATTATCATTACAACATTTCTTGGGAGGTCGCTCCGGGTGAAAAGATTATTACTAGTTTACTTTGGCGAGAAGGCCAATGAGGTCGGGGACAGCGGGGAGTGAAAAACATATGCTGTGCAATGAAGTGTGTGGGTAAGAGCAACAAATAAGGAATGACGTGAAGCGTATGTTGATGACATGACGTCACTTTACAACGGTTACTAGTAAGTGCAGTACGCAATGAGAATTTGAGACTTTGCCCCTTTGCTTCCTCCTCTGCCTTGCATCCTTACATATATACTGCCTAAGCTACAACGCAGCAATTATACATAAAATCTAATAGGAAGAGGCAAATTCGGAAAACTCGTCCCAAAAGTCAGACGGCATTCACTAAAAGAGTCAAGCAAGGAACCGAGCTTTTATAGATTTTCTAAAAACGCCATGTTCGCTTTTTTATAAGTCGCAGAAATGGAAGGAAACAGAAATGGTTCGAGTTTCCCTACGCGGTCGTGGGAATACAGAGTACGATTTTTTCGAAAGTGTAATTCAACACATTTCGCCGAACTTGCAGCTTTCCCGAGGTGAAGGAAATTTGATCTGAGGATCGTATAACCGCTTACGGCGCCTCCTGGCATTGAACCATCGCTATTCCGAAAAAGTGATTGCCCGGTATGACGCATAATGTATAATAGTTTTATATGCATGGGAAGGGGTAACGTACAAAGCTCCCCAAATATCCTGGAAAAGCAAGGGGTCTTGGCCAAGTGGCGTCGTTACGACTCCATTTACCTAGACCTAAATCAAAACCCACCCACGTCAACCTAGCCTTTCGAACCCATTGTATTGGCTAACTGGTACCACACCCGTCTGAGAGAAGGCAAAGGAGTTGTCCTAAGTTTGCGAGTCATTTCGCATTCAAACGCAGCCATGTTTTCGGATGTATGTTAATTGTGTGACAGCATCCTGAAGTGGGATTGATCAACGCATCAGTAAGGAGAGAGATAAAGAACAGAAATGTAATCAATAAAAGATAAATAGCGAAACAAACAGCCCCATTCCCGGCCATCAAAACTACCGCACTAGGCTTCTTCAGCCCTTTGCGAGCCCTTAATATCGTAAAATTTGGCCAGCGACTTTATCAAACCCTCCTTTAAATAAGCGCATCCATTAGAGAGACGCCAACACGATCAAGGAGGCTGTGTATGTCACGGCAATGTGTAGGATCACTGATAAGAACTAGAAGTTGCATGACCGTAATGTTGCAGAAAAGGTGCTCGGACCAATGAATATGTCTGAATGAAACGTCAAAGAAGCGATCAAGAATGGTTGGAAGGCAATGAAAGTAAACGGCAAAAGAGGCCTGCCATTACAAAGTGTAATGACTGATGAACGCTAAGTAGTAATGCGATTAATCAACTGAGGGCAACCCGATTAGATTTCTGAAGCGGTTTGTCCTGACAACTATCTGGCTACATCGGTCAGCGTCACCGATCGTTGTCGTTATCACTTTATCAGCTATCAGAGAAAAAAAGTTGCGACTATTCTAAGAACATGTAGAGAAAAAAGGGCTATATTCTATTGGAGTACAGGTCGTTGGAATATATCGAATGAATGAACCAAACACTATCACACACATGGTCCAGGGATCGCACTCCAGATAGATATTAGCCCAGGTCAAGCAAGTCTTCCACCGTTCTAGGGTCTGGGTCAATCGAAGGCTTATTATATACTTGGCGAATCTAATTTAACCGGCCGAGGGGTAAAGTGGCAAGTGGCGTACTATCACACACGCATGGTCACGGGTTCGAACTCCGCACTAACATCCGCCTAAGCCAAACGAGCCTTATTTTCAGGGTCGGTTGATTGGTACCAGACTCGTCTGGGAGATAAAAGCACTGGCTGGTATCGGCTGACCATCTCGAGTCATTTTATAGGTCACATACGCATTCAAATCGTCACAACGATTCTGGATGGAAGTCGAGTGCTGGGTGCATCTCTCAGACGGTACAGGTTGATGCTCAAAGACTCGAGGTCGGACATTCCTGTTCATGTCGAATTGGACAATGAAGGGTAGGGAAAAATTACGATCAGACTAATCATTCTTTCCCCAACTGCTCATATCTTTCATATTTTCCCATATCGCCGACTCGATACTCTTCAAGCACTGCAAAAAGAAGAACCAAAAGCTGATGTGTCAACGCAGTCGATGACAGCTGAGCTAAGCCCACAGCTGGGCTTCCCGAAAATCAATAGAAACAGATGAGACGAGGATAGAGAAGGAAAATTGGACTTCGGAGC